GGTCCTAACTATAGTAAGGTTTGACCAAGAGGGAGTTTTGAGGCGATCCTAACTGTAGGAAGGTTTGATCGCTCGATTTATGGACCTCTCGTTCATAGAAGGAATCGAGATGAGATTTTGGTTTTGGTCCTAACTGTTTAAATGTTTGACCAAATGGGCAATGGGAGTATTAAAGGCTTAGACCTAGTAGGGGTCTGAATGATTTTAATCCATGACGGATTTCGGTGGACCCTTCGTTGATCGATTTGATCGGTGAGGGATCTTGTGAGAAAAGATTAACTGTTTATAGATTGGAATCTCATCTCAACAAAAGCTGTAAAAGAACTTTATGATAATCAAGAATGAATTATTCAAATGATCAGTTTCTCATTTAGAACAATTAACTGATCTCGGGTTATCCCGAAATATCCTATACATGATTCTCTAGGAACTTCCCGTTTTACATAGGTTATCCTGAACATATTACGGATAATATTTTTTTAGGAAATTCCCGTTTATTGGCATCATTAATTTGTTGCCATCTTGGGTAATCAGACGGTATGCACCGTTTGAATAGACTGTTTCTATCACAAACGGTCCTTCCCATTTGGGTTAGAATTTTCCTTTCTTCTTAGAGTTGAGAATCATAGGCCTTCGAACAGTGAGAACCAAATCTCCTTCTTTAAAACTTCGTCGTCGGACCTTTTTTATCAAAATCCCGAGAAATTCTAGATTGATAAAACTCGATTTGTTGTTGAGCTTCCAAGCGTTTCTCATCTAACATCTCTAATTCCTTGAGACGTTTCTGATGATTTTCTTCCGTCGTCATTCCCGTTGCGAGAGCAATACGGAGGGAAGGAATTTGTATTTCCAAAAGAAAGACGGCTTCACATCCATATGTTAAAGAGTATGGAGTTGTTCCTATAGGCGTGCGGACAGTCGTACGATAAGCCCAGAGGGCTTCGCCGAGTTTGTCGTCCTAATCTCGTTTATTGGTTTTCACAAGTTTTGCCAAAATCTTGATAATGGTCTTGTTAAAGGCTTCAGTCAATCCGTTAGCTGTGCGATTATAAGCAGTTGATGAAACATCTTTAATCCCAAATTTACCGCAGAACTTGATAAATGTGTTGCTAACGAATTGAGGACCATTATCGTGCACTATTCGCCTCGGGACACCATACCAATATATGATGTGGTGTTTAATAAATTTGATAACATCACTCATCTTCACCTCTTTAAGTGGAACTGCTTCTGCCCATTTCAAGAAGTAATCGGTGATTGCCAGAATGAAACGGTCCCTTTTAACCGAAGGCGGGAAAATAAGACCTACAATATCCATTCCCCAATTTTCAAATGGC